GTCTCGAAGAAGAAAATTTTATGTCCGGACACCGCATTTCTGGACGGCCAACCGCCGGGCACCATGTCACTGTACACGTCAGAGCCAGGGACGTGGCGCCCGGTAGTACCCTGCAGTTGGTCATCTGGACATGCGGACGTTCGGACGTAATATATTTTTCCTCTATGAGAGTTAAATAATAATAATAATAAATGAAAAGCTAGAAGCTTAGCCCGGTAGTTGGTCATCCGGACGTGCGGACGTCCAGACGTAATATATTTTTCCTCTGTGAGAGTTAAATAATAATAATAATAATAAATGAAAAGCTAGAAGCTTATATTAAAAATAAACATTAAGAGTAATTTTTTATTGTTGAATTTTAATTTGTCTCTCAATCACACCCCAAGGTTAGAGCGCAAGAAAGAAGAGAGATGGAGACACATAGAGAGAAGCTAGGAGTGAAACCATGATTGTGAAGGTAGGGCTGACTCGATCGACTAGACTTTGCCAATCGATTAATTTAGTTAAACTATTAAAACTCGTTCCCTAGAAGATGAGCTTCTGTATGCAGAACTATATTAGACCCATCGAGCAGAGAGCGGATCATCATAACTCGAGAGATAGCTCATTCATTGACGAGGAAGATCCTTTGAGATGATTTTGAGACTGTTAAATTACTAATTATTGTCCCTAATGAAATACCTTGAGGGCATCCATGAAATGGTTGGTGATAGCGAGGAACTAGATTCTTTTCTCGAGTTGGATATGTCGGGAGGTAGGTCAATGTCTTGGCTCAGCTTTTAGGTGGTGGTTAGCTCGGGTCTTAATCTGTCAATCAAGTTCGACTGGCCTAGACTTAGATTGTTTTTTTTTTCTATCTCTTGGCTCAGTTAGCCTTCATCCTTAGCTTGGATGGCTGGATCCGATTGGATAAGTGGAACCTTTTCATCTTTTTTCGGTAGACCCTTCTTTATTGTACTTCCTTCATCCTCGATCATTAGAACTTCTTAGGATTCATGCTACCAAATTCTTGATGTACATATATAATTTTTTTTAATTATTTATTTTTAATATGATGAACCAATTTGTTCACTTACAATGCAACATTCATGTTATATTATTGAAAAAAAAGAGTAAATTTTATAAATACATGATTAGTTGTTGAATGCTGATTTTTTCGTGAATCACACTCAAATAATAGAGCGTAAGAGAGAGAAAGAGAGACGAGTATAGAGTAATGAAAAATAATTTGTTGCAATCAATCATATCCTATTTATGAAATAATTCTGTAGAGTAATGAAAAATAATTGCAATCAATCATATCCTATTTATGAAATAATTCTCCTATTTATAGAGGAAATTGTATAATATGATGATATTATATTTTTTTGTCGTTACTTTAAAGGGGTCTGCACTGGGGTATTTCTGGTATTTTACATATGTGGGTCGGTCACCCGACTACTTTCTGGCTTAGTCGGCCGTCCTTAGTCGGCTTTGAGCCGATAGGATTTGTTCGATCAGTTGAGATCAATTAAGTCGGCTGAGCTTGGTCGACACAAACCGATCAATTGATATGACCCAGTTGTCAATTCCTGACCCCTGATGAGACTTCTCACGGTGTCCCTAGGATGGTTGCAGATGCTAGAGAATCGAATCTTTCCTTGGAACGACTTTCCTTCTGGTGGTTGGCTCAGATACACTTTTATCTCATTTCTTGCTAAGCGACTCATTCTTGCCTCCTCTTGTTCTATTTGGTCCATCTCATGATTCGATAAGCCTTGGTCTTGCTGACTTAGCTCATCGAGCTTCATGCAAACTGGTCTCATGACCCTCCTATATCGCACTCTTCCTTTTCTAGACCATTAAATCTCCTCAAAATTAATGACGACTCATTTTCAATGTATATTAGTTATCATTTATCCAATAGTCATAAAAAATAAAAAAAAATAAAAATTTGTCTGAAAATATGTTTTGGACATCTTTTTCATAGCTACGCATTTGCTATATTTTCTTATTATTTAATGAAACGCTAAGGAGCGACGACCGCAAGTCTTTAGTTACTTGTCATTTTGATGAGCTGATTATAACCGAGTCGTGCTGAGATTGCTGTCCTCGTCACCGCACGCAACCCTCCGGACTTTCTCCTTCTAATTTTCATTTGAAAAAGGGTTGGGCTCACGTTACATACATACCACCCAATTCATATATATTTACAAACATAAAGTTCACTTTTTTATTTTTATAAACTCATGCAAACCGCTCAATTCTCATATATTTATATGTCTAACATCTAAATTTTACTTTGTTACATTTATATCATCCAAATCTTTCATATCACACTAAAAATAGCTCAAATCCTATATGTTTACACATTTAACACCTAGATTCTAACTCTTACATGCATGACAACTTACTTTTGCTTGTAAATCATTCGTTTTTTCAGATGGATTACATTGAAATTGATTGATCTGATAAATGTGGTGGAGAACCACATGAGTCGCATTCATAAATTAATAAATTTATATTGAAAAGTCCTCCCCAGTCAATAACAGCAAGGAATGCAACCCTATCAAGGCTTTTATTCACTATATATATATATATATATATATATATATATATAT